TCCAATTCATCTTCCGTGTCCTCTGAAAAATCCAAAAATTAGCAAACTGAAAAGGCATCGGGACCACCCAGGAAAATAATGACCTGGGTTCCCAAATCTAATTAAACCCACACATTTTGCAGGGACAGTTGCGGGGGAATGTCGTCAGACCCTAGTTCGTCGATAGCGACTGTTCCCGGCATATGACAAGAGATATCGCCCAACTGCATAACATTCAATCATTTAATGGGGGATACATCTCCTTTGCGGGTGGAGAAGGTGGCAAGATCACTCAAAGAGGAACTATCACAAATGGGGTTTTAAGTTTCGAGAATGTTAATTTTGCTCCCGAACTGAAGCATAGTCTGTTAAGTGTATCTCAGATATGTGACAAGGGCTATTCTACGCATTTCACTGATAAGGAATGCATGATTCTCAAGCTAGGCTTCGTCATCCCAGAAGAGTGGACCATTCGTGTAATTTACTCTTACTTTTCGTTTTGTTCATATTTGGGTAATTTTTTTTTTGTACATATCCATGTAACGAAGTTGTTGAAAATGTTCACATATGTCCATTATGGCCGAATATAACCTGCTACAGCATGTCATAATGGTCATATGTGAACACTTCCAAGAATTTTGTTACCTAGATGTGTACAAAAAAATAGTTACCCAGAAATGAACAAACTGAAAAGTTAATTACCTTGATATAAGTCATATTCCTTTTAATTTTTTCAACATCTCTCAACCCATTCTCACATTATATGTTCTCTTTCCTTTCACTCCATTTCTTTCATACCACTTACATATAGATCCTATCTTTCTAATTCTTCCAGCCCATTTAATTTTTCATTTTAAAATAAATACAAACTAATTAAAATTATATAAAATATATTAAAAACATTCCAAAACCATTCACAAACTAATTTAAAAACATACACAAACTATTTTGATACAAGTCTTATGCATGATTTACAAGTAACCAAAACTTGAGAGAGAGAGAAAGAGAGAGAAGGAGAGCACAACAGGTTATGTAATCTGCTATCATACACTCTAACGACACCCTATAGTTTGCCAGATTGTTTGTCATGGTGGTACCACCATCACTTTACTCCGACACCACTGTCCACCTTGTAGGGTTAATTTAGGGAAATCTCAAATAAAGTCCTAAAATTTTGGTCCAATTTACTTTAGGGTTTGGTCAAAGGCAGGGAGTTATGGGGATCATGAAGGGGTAAAATGGTCTTTTAACCATCCTAAAAGTTGAGAGAGAAAATAACTTAGTTTATTTAGAGTCATTATTTTAAGTGTTAATTAGAGATAATTATCCTATGTGTTAGGCGGAGGCTAGTTCGGAGTTTCGTGTACGAGGTTTATAGCCTGCTTGCTTTCGAGGTGAGTCTTCTCACTATACTTTACCTAGAGTGGTAACCTTTGTGTGACCGGAGGGTCTTATATGCTTATATTGAGTATTGTGATATCCTGCATTATGTCTTTGTGATTTATGTTGTGTATTATTCTGAGCTTACTAAGTTAGGATCGGAGGGTCCACCCGAGTTGTGGGATCGGAGGGTCCCACTAAGACACATTGACTGGAAGGTCTTATCTGAGTATAGTCATGAAAGGCTAATGAGTTATGTGTGTGTGTGTTTTGGGGAACTCACTAAGCTTCGTGCTTACCGTGTTATGTGATATGTGTTTCAGGTTCTTCTCAGGATCGAAGGAAGGCCCCGACTTGATTATACACACCAGAGGAAGGGTTATGTTTTGAGGATACTGGATTATTAATCAAACAATTATGGAGTTGCGTTTTATAAATTAAATAAATAGGATTTTTTGTGAAATATGTTATGAGAATTATATGATTTTAACATGAAAATTTTGTTTGAAAATTTACGGTGTTATAAATTGGGTCAGCTACCATGTGTACTAGTGTGCGCGTATGCTATGTGTGTATGTCTTGTGTGTACGTATTTGAATTACCAACATATGTGTTGTCCTTTTTCATTACTTTATTTCTATGGATTTTTGAAAAAAAAAAAACATAGCAAATGTAGTGTGATAAAGCAAAACATAGCAGATATTTATAGTGGATCTGTTGGATTTGAAAATAAATATCTCTACCTTAAATTATTTTATATAAAAAAATGAGAAATCATTCTATCTTAAACTATTTATAACTAATTTTACAAATAGACAACTTCTTTTAATTTGTTAAGTGTTAATATTCTGAATTAAAAACAATAATTAACAAATGTAAAATTATTATATACAAAGTGAGAATATACAAGCTGATATTAATGATTTCAATGCTTAAATCATCATCATCCCCTTCACATTCACACTTAAAAATGTCTTTAATATATTTTTTTTTATTTAAACATATTTATATTTATTATTAACAATATTAATAATAATAATTTTAAAAAATAGTTACTTATTTATATTTTTAATAATAATAATAATATAATAATAAGATTTTTGTTTTCAGAAAAATCTTATTATTTTTGTTTTTAAAAAAGTCTCAATATTTTAGATCAGTTTACGAAATAATCTCAAATTAATTTATTACCGGTCCCAACTGATTAAAAATGGGTCAAAATACAAACTTTTGTCCGTTTTTAGTTTTTCTTTTTTTTTTTGTAAATTAAAAAATTAATTTATAACTAAAACGTAAACTGAACCAAAATTTAAAAACTTTATTGAAGATTTCCCATTAATTTAAGAACAACCTTAACATATCTAAGTATAATTTTCCTTTTTTCAGTTTAACCTCATGAGTTTCTTGTCTTTTCGTTTTGAAATTATTATGAGGTTATCCTTTTCCTGGTTTTGTAATTTATTTTATAAATAAACATATAATATTATTTATATAAAAGACACTATATATATATATATATATATATATATATATATATATATATATATATATATATATATATATATATATATATATATATATATATATATATATCCATTTTTTAATCAAATGGTAAGCTGGTAATTAGTTATAAAAATACCAAAATGAATTGGAAAAAAGATATATGAATCTAAGTTTAAACTTTAAACCAAAACAATTCCAAATATGTTAGAGGTTTTTTAATGAAATTATACAATATACACCCAACTAATTTTTGCTATTTTTATAATAAAACGAAAAGTTTCAATAGTCAATAGTTAGTAGGTTCAGTATACAAAACGTGTTCTGTAATAATCTAAATTACTTTGAAAACACGTACTTTGGATGGTTCTTACCTCATAATCATAAGTAGCTATAATATATTTGATTTATCTATTACGTAATAATAATATTTTACTTTCTTTCATCCAAAATAAGAATAATTAGTAATAACTGTAGTAATTTTCATATAATCACACAGAAAAGAAAAAATGCAAGGATTTGTAATCCAAATCCCAAGAAGATTCTCCTTCTCCCCCATAACCCGTATTTTTTTTTTCTTCCATAAGTACCCCCTTAACATTCTTCATCCTCTTCACGCTTTACAACTTCCTATCTTCACCACTCTGTTTCTTCTTCAAAAATGAAGCTCAGTCGTGTTTACTGCCTTTTAATGTTAACTGCATTCTTCACAACCGTCGTCAATGCTCGTATCCCCGGAGTTTACACCGGAGGCCAGTGGGAATCCGCTCACGCCACCTTCTACGGTGGTAGTGACGCATCTGGCACCATGGGTAAGTTCCCAGTTCTCGATTCCCAATTACAAAATTACAAAATTAGTTCAGAAGAAACAAAGCAATTGAATCTCGAATTGCAAGAAAACCCTTTTAACAATTTTCATTTTTCAGGTGGAGCATGTGGGTATGGGAATTTATACAGCCAAGGGTACGGCGTGAATACGGCGGCGCTAAGCACGGCGCTGTTCAACAATGGGTTCAGATGCGGCGCTTGTTTTGAGATAAAGTGTACGAACGACCCTCAATGGTGTCACCCCGGCAGCCCTTCAATTTTCATCACCGCCACCAATTTCTGCCCTCCTAACTTCGCTCAACCCAGTGACAACGGTGGATGGTGTAACCCACCTCGCCCCCATTTCGATCTCGCCATGCCCATGTTTCTCAAAATCGCAGAGTATCGTGCCGGAATTGTCCCCGTTAACTACCGCCGGTGAGTCAATATTTAACTTTATCACTCCCATTCCCATACAGATTGTCAAATTTGTTGTAAGACTGGTAACGGTTTTCTTTTTAGGGTGGCGTGCCGGAAACAAGGAGGGATAAGGTTCACCATTAATGGATTCCGGTACTTCAACTTGATTTTGATCAGCAACGTCGCCGGTGCCGGAGATATCACGATGGCATGGGTTAAAGGTTCGAACACCGATTGGATGAGTCTAAGCAGAAATTGGGGTCAAAATTGGCAATCAAACGCTCAGCTGATTGGACAATCGCTTTCTTTTAGGGTTAGAAGCAGTGACGGTCGATCTTCAGCCTCCATGAACATAGTACCTTCGAACTGGCAATTTGGGCAAACTTTTACCGGGAAGAATTTCCGGGTTTGAAATTGGAGTCGGATCAAGACCGGGTTTGGGTTGGCGGGTCACATTTGTCTATTTTTAGTTTTATTTTTAAGAAAATAGTATTATTTTGGGGGGAAAAATACGAGAGTGCTTTTTGTTGACTTTTTGACTATGAAGAAGTGCTTTTTTATCCTTTGTATTTTGTAAGGAAGCTGAAGTGGCTATGCCTAATTCCAGGGGCCCGCAGCTTTAATTTTCTTTAAAATAAAATATACATACTATAAAATATAACTCTTCTAAATTTTATGTTCATGTTATATCTTATCATTCTCATGTGTGCGAAAAAGAGAAAGAGAAAAACACTTCAAATAAAAAAAAGGGAAATATACATGAGAAGAACATCACTAGATTTCTAGTAACTAACTTTATTCAATAAAATCTGTTGAACCCACTTGACATTATTTATTTATGTATTTATTTTTATCAAATTGTATAAGAACGTAGCATGTAGCAAAGATAATATAAAATAAAAGCAATGAATAATGCAACCTGCACAGATGTCAACATAGTCTCACTCACATAGTCACATGGATAATGTAATAAATCATTGTGTTGTACAAATAATGCAACACTGAATCACTCAGAAAAAAATACAAGGTAAACGCCAAGAAATATCCACTCTTCAGGGATTCGATCCTCTGTATTTCAATTTTCATCCACTCATCAAATCTTTTATCTCTGTCTCACAATCACCACAATTTGACCAAATCATAATTTCAAAAAAAAAAAAATCTTTTACAGACACCCAAGGTTCATATATTAAGTGAAAAGTCTTTGAAGTTAAATTAGCATACAACAATTTAAATGTATAACAAAGAGTTTGTTAAGAAGTCAATTTGGGCGTTGACCATCTCTTCTACGTTTAAGTGACTTGTTTGCTTTCAATTGGTGGACTAAGCAATCAATAACTTCTTTAAGACTCGCTTTTCTATTTTCTTTGAAGTTCCAAAGCTCTGATACAACATATCTCCCACTTGAATTATACTCATTTAATTCCAACAACGCCTTCACTACAGCATTGCATACTTCCTCACCCCATTGACTTTTTAACTCTCTCAAATGGCTATCATCTTCATCTATTATTTCCTAAAGATAAATAAGATCAAATTAGTTTGATTTGAAAATGAAAGGATATGAAAGAAAGATAGAAAGAAAGATACCTGTAATTTTCCATCTTTTACAGCTTGTTTGAAAGGATGCCAATTTGGAGTATTCACCTTATCTTGCCACAATGAACTTAACTCAACTGATCTCATTTCCCAATCTTGACTAGAAAATCTCTGCAAACACACATCTTGAAAAGGTTTCTGAGCAACTTCTCCCATTCTTTTTAACCCAATTATAGAAGTTCCCTCCAAAACTTGGGGCAAAACCTACATGAAGAAACTAGGAAATGTTTCATATTTCATCTACTAAAAAAAGGATCTACACATCATAAAGAAACCTTACGTTTATCAGTTCCTTTCGAGCAGCTTGTAGCTCGTTGTTGCTCATGTGTTCTCTAAGTATCAAAGTTTGGTTTAAAATGTCCATATCATGTAATTCTTCCTCTTTTTCAGTCAGTTTTTCCCTTAAGTCATTGATAAGGACACTCATACCATATTCACTGTCTAAGGGGTTTTGAGCTATCTGCAGGATATTAATTGTTAGATACAATCATACAAATACCATAAGGTCAATTTAGCTTTATTATGACTTTTCAAATAGAGGAAATTGTACCTTTTCCTTCTCTTTGTAAAAGCTTTTGCGTTCAATCTCAAGTTGTGACTCTCTTTTGTCCAGTTCATTAGCTCTTAGTTCAAGTTCTTTTCGTTGATATGCTACTTCCTCTTTCAGCTTTTCACTTTCTTGAAAAAGTACATGCATTTTGCTCAATTGGCATTCCAATTCAGTCTTCAATTTGGTGTTTTGTGATCCAAGCACCTGCATCTTTCTCATTTCTATAGTGCTACACCAACTGTGTTAGAAAGAGGAAGTATCTACATTGTGCAATATAAGGGTGTTCAGAAATTATATCATCTGAACTAAAAATTAGAACAAAAAGATTGTTCTTTTCACTTTAGGGTATATCCGTGAACTTCGATTTCATAGATTGAACCCATGATTGGGGTAAATTCGGTTCAAATTTTAGAAATTGTCATCAAGGAAGGGAATTACCATATGCATTGACTCCCAATTTGGAGAACACAGCTAACTAACTAACCATACATTGACCTAAAAA